CCCCAGTGCATGAAGGACTGCGCCATCCACAATCTTCCCTCCCATCCCCAGACTGCTGAGTGCTGGGGACATCCTCCAACACTGGCCAGGTTGGTGCCCTTCCACGTATGGCTTCCAGACACAGCAACTCCACACTGCCTTCCAAGCCAGCAACATGAGACTGCTCAACATGAGGCCACTCTATTTTCTTTTCTATGCCTTGGAAAAGCCTTTCTAGAATTTCACAGCCCCCTCAACATCTCTTCTCCACTGCTGCCTGAGGAACATATTTAAAACTTCACAGAGAAGCGTGAGTTTTTCCAGTGTTCCCTGGCTCTACTTTCTTTTCACCTGTCTTCAATTAAGACTCGGGAATTCACAGGTGAACATGCTTTTCTTACCTCTCATTTTAGAGAAAATGTTCACCTCTCTTCAACAAGTCTAATTTGTAGGTTGGTGACCTGACTCTGGTTGCCTCTCTTGGATTTTGTCCAATAAGCTATTCTTTTTTTTTTTTTTTCCAATTTTACCAATTTATTTATTTATATATGACGGAAGAATGCATTGCAATTCTTATTACACACATAGAGCACATTTTTTCATATCTCTGGTTGTATACCAAGTATATTCACACCAATTCATGTCTTCATACCTGTACTTTGGATAATAATAATCATCACATTCCACCATTATTAATAACCCCATGTTCCCTCCCTTCCCCTCCAATCCCTCTGCCCTATCTAGAGTTCATCTCCTGCTCCCTATCCCACTATGAATCAGCCTCCTTATATCAAAGAAAACTTTCGGCATTTTTTTTTTTTTTTTGGATTTGCTAACTTCACTTAGCATTATCTTCTCTAACTCTATCCATTTACCTGCAAATACCATGATTTTATTCTCTTTTATTGCTGAGTAATATTCCACTGTGTATATATGCCACATTTTTTTAATCCATTCATCTACTGAAGGACATCTAGGTTGGTTCCACAGTTTAGCTATTGTAAATTGTGCTGCTATTATCATTGATGTGGCTGTGTCCCTGTAGTATGCTATTTTTAAGTCCTTTGGGTATAGACCAAGGAGAGGGATAGCTGGGTCAAACAATGATTCCATTCCCAATTTTCCAAGACATCTCCATACTGCTTTCCATATTGGCTGCACCAATTTGCAGTCCCACCAGCACATTTATCTCTTTTCCTCTCAATGGTGTCTTTCATATCAACCTATAAATATATTCATGTCTCTCATATTTTAGAACATAATATACAAAATTTCCTTCATCATTCATTGTTTTATTCTAGGAATATTTCTAGGTTTCTTCTTTCTTTTTCTCAGGGAAAAGATAAGCAAGTGATGATCTCTCCCTCTGTTGTATTATCTCCCACATCCTCTGGGTTATTCTTATACTTACTGAGGTTTGGATTTCAAGTCTACTGCTGTTCTAATCACACCTGAAAATCCAGTGTAATTTTTAAAAATTCTTTTATTATTTAGACACTTATTGGGAATCTTCTCTCCATTGTAAGAATTTCTCATTTGTGTCTAATGACACCAAGTAATCTTTTCCATCTTCGTAACTGTCCTTTTTTTAGCCTAATTTGCTTCCTCTCTTATTTCTAAGTGCTCATGGAGTTACACATTTGGCTGTTATCTTCTCACTGTGGATACCTTCATTAGTTTGAATACAATTGATATTTACATGGTACCACATCAGCAAGCTTAACCCAGATAATTTCTGATTCCTTGATATTTGATTCCACACTCACAGTTCCAACTGCTCACTCCGTAGCTTCCTGGGGGTATATCTCAACACAACATTCCCCAATCTGACCTTCATTAGCTATTCCTCCTGTTCACTGTGAATACTCTGAGGGAGAATCAGTTCTAGACCCCTCACCTAGATTCTGGTGGTTTGCAAGCCAGAAATCTGGATATGGTCTTATACCTCTTTATCACCCTCTACTCCTATGATTAAATAGTTGCTGATGTGATTAAAAACACATCATTTTCTACTGGGCTTTTGAAATAGGCTCCAAACATATTTTTATATTTGTTTTTTTCTTACATGTTTAACAAGATGAATGTTAACTGTTTCCTTATGTCCATTACTTAGAATGGTAATAAAAGCCTTCCCTCTTGATTTAGTCACTTTCTAAATTCTTTTTTCTTTTTCTTTCTTTCTTTTTTTTTCTATAGTGAGTCACGGCACATTGGAAACTCCCTAATCAATAAGAGTGATGGATAATTTCTTTAGAACAATGCAAATTATTGTAATGGTTTCAGGGTTTCTGAACTTCCTGGGATCTGCCCCGAAATAGCAGAATCCAATCCAGTCCCTTGCTACCCTGTCTCCAACACCTTCAACAAGGCTGAAATACTTATAGTGCCCCCTACAGGCCATGTGGTTCCTGGCACCCTGATATTACCTCAGGTGTGCTTGCTTCACTCCTAATGGATAAAATCTGCTTACTTTCTGTTAGATAAGGGACACCTCTAGGCTTACTCACATGTTTTCCTCACACGTACAGATCTGTCTGGGTTATTCCATCTTTATGACCCTATTATATATGTTTTCTGTCTAAGGTAAGAGAATAACTCAGGGCAAACAGTATAACAGGGCTAAAGAGCCTTGGCCTCAGAATGCCATAGGTGTGAATGGTAAGAATGGATATATTTGGTAAACAGTATACTGTCCCTTGGCCCAGTTACTGTTACTAAACTCAGTTTGAGGAAGAAAAATTTTTCTTAGTCAAGTTAGTACAACCAAGGATTTATGATGGAAATGGAGTTTTCATTGGTTTTAAAGGCTATAGACGATTTGGGAGTGCTAAGATTTGAGGTGGAAAAGAAGATAAGTAGGCTGGGGATATCCCTTGGTGGTAGAGTCCTTGCTTAGCACATGGGAGACCCAGGATTTGATTCCCAGACCTTAAAAGTGAAAGAACAAACAACAATAACAAAAACGATATGTGAGAATTCTCCTAATTGGTCTACGTTTACTAAACTCCTTTGAATCTTAAAAATTATGATCTTGGTTGTATAATTAGGTTTTTTTGTAACATTATATTAATCCCAAAAATTATCACTCAATGAAGGTGACTTATTGACAATCTATACTCTTACTTATTAAAAGTGTGATTGTTTTTTAATGCCTGGTGAACTCATTTTTCCAATGGTCAGTTCATCATTATATTTACTGATTGGTAAGGTTTAGGATATTGTTTCATAAAATGAGTTTTTAGGAAATCTAATCCTTTGGGAAATTCATCAAGAAATTATTCCATGGGCTAACAGGTGTGGTAAAGGCTCTCAAAATTCTTTGTAAAGAAACTTCACCTGTTTAATCCACCATTTTACCTCTTAACTGTAGAACTGCTTTTTCCATAACTGCTGTTAATATTTCATGGGACTATTCCCCAGAATTTGAAAAATTATAATTAACTATAAGTATTAATCTGATTAATCTGCCATTTATTATTTAAAAAAAAAAAAAAACAGAACTATTCATTAAGCACCCAAATAATTTGTTTTACATTTTTTCTCATATACTAAAGAGTAGTTTCCAGATTATCCCTTTGTCATAGGCCATAAATGTGTTGTAAACAATGGTTATTATTAACCTATTATAATATATTATAAAAGTCATAAAGACATAGATCTTTTGGAACCCCAAGGATAATTAGATTTCAAATGGTGTTCTACTACTCCACTAGTCTGAGAAAATTGAGTCCTGGAGAAGCTTAAGAAAATTTTGAATATAAAAAAGAGAGTCTACAGTGGAACCACAGCTTAAAAGATGATCTCTTGAGTAAGGGTCCTATATTCTTTATTTGCTTACCACTTTATTCCATTTATCAGGAACCCATTTATAAATAATTAAACTGACCTTGCTTGTGATAATAGTTGATTTTTTTTTTAGTATTGTTTTAGTTAAAGATGAAAACAATGACTTTTATCTTATTTTGTTTTGTTTTTATGTGGTTCTGGGATCCAACCCAGTGCCTCACATGTGCTAGGCAAGTGTTCTACTACTGAATCACAACCCCAGTCCAATAGTTCATATTTTTCATGACTTAAGTTTAGAATCAGAAGCTAGAAGATTTTATGTAAATATCTAATTTCAAGTGCATAATTTAGAAATCAAGTTGTAATGTTTAGAAGAAATGTTTTTAATATATCTGGCCTTTTAGAAATGTGGACTCTCATATCAGAAATATAAAGTGCATGTAAGATTCTTCTTATTCTTCTTTGGTTGTTCATTTTTTTTTCATTTAATAAAATGTTTTCTACCAACATGAAACCATTCTTGGGGATCAAAGTCATTAGGAGAACACAGTAGATCGCGCTTTTTAGTTGATTCTAAACAGTTCTGTGGTTTAAGCAAAAGATTTTGTTTTTCCAAGGCAGAGGCATTCCATCTGTTAGGAAATATGGACTTCAGAATTTGTTTCCACTGTGCCACCACATATTACCTCCTACCTTAATGACTTCCAAGTATTAGAAATTATGATACCTTTAATCAGTTACATAAAAAATATTTAAAATGAAAAATATATTATATCCTTTCTTTATTCAAAGACACTTTTGTTTATTGTATCTCATTTTATTATTAAAAATGCCAGATAACACAGAATTTAGGGGTTGTCAAAGGTACAAAAGCACATGTTTCTACAATTTTTTACTTACATAAGGTAAGATTTTATGTGTATAAGAAATTTCTTTATGTGCAGAAAACACATCTAGCTTTTCAAGGTTAAGCAAATAATATACACAACATATGGCATTTTTACTAAACAACCTTAAATGCAAAAATAGAAGGTTAGTGGATTTAGCTACTATTTGTCTGCAACTTTATCACAATGTGAAAAATTGATGCCACAATGTCAAATATAATAAGAAAATATATAGACAAAGGTATATTTTATAAAGAAATGTATATTTAGAATATTGAACCATTGATAAATCCTATGCTGAGAAATACTGTATGTAATTTTTTTTTATTTTTTATTTTTATCTTTAAGATTTTCTACTCTCCCATGGCCCTCTTCATACCACCCTCTGTATATGCTGTTCATCTTCAGTTCAATCTACTTTACCAATTTTGGATCCATACTGAGGTAACTTTTTTTACCCCTTAAGTTTTATATCTAAATAGCCTGAAGTAATGTCCTGGAAATCCACTAGAAGCTGATTTATTGTGTAAGAAAAATCTTTGTCTGCCTTCTTTAAGGAGAAACATCTGTTCATTTTTATTCCTTTTTTCTGAATATATATTGCAAAGTTTATAAGAAGCAATGAGGCCAGTTGGTCTTGATTAAATAAAACAATTTTTGAACTATTAAGTACCAAAACATTTTAATACTATATTCAATACAATATCTACCTGTATTGCAGTTTATTAAATATTACTAAGAGATGTTAAAATTTATTTCAATTTGGAGATATAAATTTTTATACATTTTATATAGATATATATTTATATATATTCATATACTAAAAAATCTAGAGACATCTATATAGATATATCAGTAGAAACTTCTTGAAAACTCCTTGGAAAAAATTAATATTTATGCAAATTAGAAAAATACTTTTTTTTTGGAAAATATTATTTTAATTATATAGTTTAGGTTTTATTTAAAGGCATTCAATATATTGTTAAGGCTTTATTTGTCTTCTAAAAAATTAAACAAATAGAATTTTTTGTTTCTTCTGGGGTATTTCAATTTGTCAGACTTGAATGTTTGCAGATAGATCATTAAGCAACTGTTTGGTTTATGAACTATTGTACTGATCTTGTTGTTAAGTATCAAAAATCACAGACCCAGAAAAATTCCTACTTATACACTCGAGAACCCTTTCAAGCATTTGGTATTTATTGGAAGCCTTTTGAAGTTACGATAGGAAGCACATTGACAGGTGTTGCAATTGGTTGAAAAATATCACAAATCACAGCTGCATAAGATGTCAAATCTTGATACAACAAAGAGCATTATTTCATTAATCTGCAATATTTCTTGCTACTGATTTGCTTGGAATAAAGAGACTGTTACCCTGACTTTGAACATATGTTGCATTTTTTGAAGATCGCTCATGAAATACTATTGTGTTTTATGATAGTTGACACACATCAAACAGTCAATACTACAACCATCTGAAAGAGTTGTTGAGGCCAATTCTGACTCTAGAGGTCAAGGACCAAATTTGTTTAAATCAGTGGATGGAAACTTTCTGATGATTTACATGGAGGGGTTAAAGGAGAATTACACTTTTATAGCAGTTCTGCCCCAGGTCGTGCCACGTGTTGGTCAGCTTTTTGTCTGGATACAGAACAATGGTGCCTAAGTAACTTCCATTTTTTTTCCTGTCTCTCAGAAATGTCCCTGAATAGGATTTCAGTTCCATTCCCTGAAGTGGGAGACTGAGAGTGAGGAAAAGCCAGTGGTGAAAATTCTTTCTTTTAAGCTCAGAATGAACCTCCAGGTGGCTTCCTTTCCTGTTCAAAAGCAGTGCCTTAGAATCTCTCCCTTGTGCTCTACTTCTTAGTTTTGAAAGTACTTTGCCATGTGTAATTACAACAGCTGGACTGGCCTGAGAGGCATGAAGACACTTTACGGAAGTGATGGTTTGGATCCTCAAAATTCAAGTTATTAGCTGTGGATACATTTCTGAAATTTTTTTCACAACTGTGTGATGTCACTAGTTTATTGTACATAATATACCACCATTTGTTTACAAATAATAGAATAATTCTCCAGGGGTTAGAATCAAGATATTTTTCATAGTGGCTGCTTTGGGTAAATGGAATACAGAACTGGAAGAACTGGAGTAAGGAGAAGATTAAACTATTTAAAAAAAAAAAAAATTAACATGTGTTTGCTGGACTTTTTCATATAATGCTAATACCCATATTAGGAAATAAAAATGGAGACTGAAAACAATAACCTTCAGTGTAGGAAAATATCTACTTTATGACTGGAAAAAGTATTAACCCCGCTGAGTTACTTGCACACTGTTTAAGATCAGGCATCCTGGATATAGCTGACCAGGCACAGAAATGACATGTGTGAGCTATAGATGTGACAGTGTTGTCCAATGCAATTTGTGCTATCCTAAGTGACTCTCAGTTCTTTCCCTTCATGAAGATCAGTTCTCACTCTCAGGGTAAACTAGTCTTAAGGTGGTATGGATTTTCTAAAAGTGAAGAAGAAAAATGTTTTTCCTTTCAATCAACCCAGTTAAGATGAGAGGAAGGAAAAATAAAAACAATTTTAAATCATGTTTTTAAAAAATTGTTTATAGGAAGAAAAAAAATGGGTCATTAAACAAATTGAATAGTTCATTGAAATTTTCTGTTTACTCTTAGGGTACTTTAATGAAGACACAACAGATTCTTAGTCACATATTGTTTTTTGAAAGTTACAAAACATTTTGCTTTAAATTATATTCTCTTGCTTAATTTTTGTGAAGACATTTTGTTTGTAGATTGTTCGTTGATCTAAAGTGTGTGTAACTTCTTATGAATTTGCTGAGTTCAATAAAAGAAACTTTTTATCTAATATATATTTTTAACTTAGTAACTACAACATTTTTAGAGTTTTAGATAATTTTCATTATTTGGGTGCTAGCTGATTTTACATGGTGCAGTAATATTACTAACAATAACTGCTACCTTTGATCATAAATTTACTATTTTTTTATGTATATATCACATGATACTTGAGTAAAAAAATGTTATAACAAACAAAATTATTTAAAACTTTAGTATTGAAGATTTGAATCAAATTATTTGATGATTTTTATAATACTAAACTGAAACCCCTAAATGTAACACTATGCAAATATTAGAAATATAATGAATAGGGCTGGGGATGTGGCTCAAGTGGTAGCGCAATTGCCTGGCATGCGTGTGGTCCGGGTTCAATCCTCAGCACACATACAAACAAAGATGTTGTGTCCACTGAAAACTAAAAAATAAATGTTAAAAATTCTCTCTCTCTCTCTAAAAAAAAAAAAAAGAAATATAATGAATAATCTCTGTATATTGATATGAATAGAATACCAAATAAATCAAAGTATATAGTATGTGTTATGTATATTATGTGCTAATATTTATGCTAAAAGACATAAAATTATATATTTTGCATATTCAGATATACGTAAAATGCCTTTAGAAAGACATAGGGTAGCCATTTCTCTTCCTGTAGGAGGGTTTTTTTTTGGGGGGGGATCGCTAAGAGATAAAAATCAGAGTAAGACATTAATATGAATTTAACCATTATACTTTGGGTAAAATGTGATCTCTGTATGTTGTTATTTCTTTAATAATGATACTGAGCAGCTGTAAATTTGATGAACAGAAATACTGAATTTAGAAAAATTTTAATTTCTTATTTTTTTTCTTTTTTTTTTAAAAAAAAATTTTCTAAGAAATTTTAACTGTGTCAAACTCTGAAAGATATTCTCCTAGAATATTTTTTGAAACTTTAAAGTTTTGAGTTTTACCTTTAGGCCTATGATATACTTGGAATTCACCTATAGGTCTGTGACATACTTGTAATTATCTTTATATAGAGAATATGGTAGGGAACAAGATTAGTTATTTCTATGTGTATATCCACTTGCTCCAGACACATTTATTTGGAGATAGTTTTGTTCATTGGATGGCTTTGGTGTGTTTGTTGAAAAGAAAGTAACCATGTATGGTAGGATCTTTTTTTTTTTCATTTTACTCTCTTTCATTGATTTGTTTTCCTTTATATCAATCCCATATTTTATTTATTACTATAATTTATAGCAGAGTTATCATATTGTTTATAATTGTTATATTATTTATAATATAATATAGTTATTATATTATTTATTTAAATAAGTTATACAGTTTATAAAATAATTTGCTTACAATCCACTAGAATTTTCTTCTTGCAACATTTTATACTCTTTCAAACATAAATAGAAGGACATATACAATTTAAACAGATCAATTTCAAGCAATGAAATAGAAGATGCCATCAAAAGCCTACCAACCAAGAAAAGCCCAGGACCTAATGGATTCTTAGCTGAGTTCCACAAGACCTTCAAGGAATACTTAATACCAGTACTCCTATAACTATTTCATGAAGTAGAAAAGGAGGAAACACTTCCAAACTCATTCTATGAGGCTAGTATTACCCTGATACCTAAGCCAGAAAAAGACACATCAAGGAAACAAAACTTCAAACCAATATCTCTGATGAAGAAAGATGTAAAAATTCTCAATAAAAATCTGGCAAATCACATACAAAAACATCTTAAAAAGATAGTGCACCATGATTAAGTGGTGTTTATCTCAGGGATGCAAGGTTGGTTCAACATACAGAAATCAATACATATAATTCATCACATCAGTAGACAAAAAGATAAAAATCATATGATCATTCAAATAGATGCATAACAAGCATTTGAAAAAAATACAACACCCTTTCATGTTTACAATATTGGAAAAACTAGAGATATTAGGAACATACATCAACATTGTAAAAGCTATCTATGCTAAGCCCAAGGCCAACATCATTCTAAATGGAGAAAAAAATAGAACCATTCCTTCTAAGAACTGGAACAAGACAGGGATGCCTCTTTCACTACTCCTATTCAGTATAGTCCTTGAAATTCTAGCCAGAGCAATTAGACAGGTGAAAGAAATTAAAGGGATGGGAATAGGAAAAGGAGAACTCAAACTATCATATTTGCTGATTATATGATTTTTTACTTAGAGGATCCAGAAAATTCCACCAGAAAACTTCTATAGTTAATAAATGAATTCAGCAAAGTAACATCAATACCCTTAAATAAAATGCATTTCTATACATCAGTGATAAACCCTCTGAAAGAGAAATTAAGAAAACTACTCCATTCACAATAGCCTCAATAAAATAAAATACTTGGGGATGAATCTAACAAAAGAGGTGAAAGACCTCTACAATGAAAACTACAGGACAGTAAAGAAAGAAATTGAAGAAGACCTTAGAAGATGAAAAAAAAGTCTGTCATCTTCATGGATAGGCAGAATTAATATTGTCAAATAGCCATACTACCAAAACTGTTATACAATTCAATGCAATTCAATTAAATTCCAACAACA